CCCTCTCTCCCTCCCCCTTTCCCTACCTCTCCTTCCTACCTCCCCCAGTCATACAACCTGCATGTCACTTTCCTCCCCTCTCCACAGACAGTAGTGAGGAACACACACCCCTCCCCTCCTGTCACACACCCCTCCCTGACCTGCCTGTCCCAAGTCCAAGGCACCCACAGAGACCCCACCCCCTCCATCCCGAGGTGTCATTGGCCCTGGCTGACCGTGTTCCCAGGCCATCCAGTCCAGCAAGCTGAGATCAGGGACCGGGTGACAGAGTGCAGCTGGCCACTTAGCTGCTCCCAGGAGGGCTGTGCACCTTGCTAAGTTGCAACCAGGGCTCGGGTGTGGCCTGGGCTTCCTGGTTCTCCTCCTCGGAGCATTTTCTGTAACACGTGTGGTCTTGTGGTCTTAGTTTCTCCTCTCACTGCTGAGACAGGTACCCCACACTCAGAGCTAACAGAAGGCAGGTTTCCTGTGGCTCACCATTTGTAGCAGCTTCAATCCCTAGTTGGCTGGCTCCAGGCTGTGTGGCCTGGCAGGGGCATCGCAGAGGGGAAATCGCCCATGGCAGAGCAGGCAGCAGGTGGCAGGCAGCAGGCAGCAGGCAGCTCCTTTCTTTGCCTTTTTTGTTCTTTTAAAATTTATTTATTTTTTAACAGAATTAAAAAAACAGTTTTAAAAACATTAGGAATAATACAGAACTTCACTAAACAAAATGATAGGAATTTGACAATGGTGGTTATTGTCTTTTTAAAAAAACAGGATTTCTCTATATAAAGTAAAGCCATATTAATATGCTGAGCTGTGAAAGGCTCAAGTCAACAACTTCTGCGGATAACCCACTACTACTGTGGACTGCTGGACTGTGTTGGATTGTTTTGCTGAATTCAAACACCTATAGTATTTAGATGCCAGTGGAATACCCATCTCTGACAGGACTAAACAAAAAAGGGGATACAAAGGAAGGACCATTTTGTATCTGTATATGCATAATAGTTAGGATAGATATACAGCTACTTTCTCTTAATTCAATGAGAAGAAAGAGGTGTACTAATAGTGTTTGGACAGGATATCCTGCCTGCTTCTTGTACTATGGATAACCACTAAGAAGAAAAACAATGTACAATGTATTAATTATTGAAACTGTCCTATTAGTCAGCTTTGAAATTGTCTCATTGATATGTTTCTCAATAAAATTTAAAAAAAAAAGAAAAATTGAGAGACTTAAAAACAAAATTAAACAAGCAAGAAACCAGGATTCCTCTATGTACCCCAGGCTGGCGTTGAACTCTCAGTGATCCCTCTGCCTCAGCCACCGGAGTGCTGGGATTACAGCTGTGTGCCACCACACCCGGGGTTTTGTGTTGCTGTATTCCATCCAAGCTCCCTACCTTTTGGGTGGTGCCACCCACATCAGGGCAGGGGCGCCCTTAATCCCAGCATCACACACCCTAATCCAGTCACCTGCAAACCTCCCCACCTGAGAGCGTAGGAGGCTTTGGAGACCTGTATGGGTATGAGCCACAGCTCCTGGCATGCTTCCTCCCGGGGGCGCTGCGGACAGCCCTGCAGGCCGCGCACTGACTCCTCCAGGGGGCGCCGCGGACAGCCCTGCAGGCCGCGCACTGACTCCTCCAGGGGGCGCCGCGGA